ATATGTAATTTTTTTTTTACAGCAACATGCATGTACTAATTGTGATTTGTCATTCTAGGGTTTGAAATCCCTATTGATCATTTTACCTTACTTGCAATATGTATGGTGATTAATGTAGTAACTGTTACTGTTATTAAGTATTCCAAGCCATGACCTTTTGTGTTGCCATGGCAAATAGTAAAAACAATTTTGGCATCTCAATTTTCAGATTGGCAGTCTATGTTCAGTGGTTTTTCCTTAAGCTAATGTGAGATAAACTATTGCATGAAAAATTATTAATGCCCTGTATTTCCCTTTTTCTTCCTGGTTGTACAGTGAGGTAAATGGTCTTGAGTGTTTGGTTTTTTTTTCCTTTCCTTCCCTGGTGACTGAAATTTGATTTTTGATGACCATTGTATTTCTTTCAGTCACCAAATGCAACTTTGAAAAAAGGTTTAGCTTAGAAGCACCATTATTGATATTTATGTCTATTACTTTTACAGTTAAAAAGACTGTCTTCACAAGTGTCATTATTACAAGAAGACCATGCAATGCAAACAGATAAACAGAATAAATTTAGAGAAGAAAACAAATTATTATGTACAAGGTAAGAAGAGTAAATGATTCTTTGATGAACTATTTCACTTAGACAGTTGCCCACCTTTGTTTGCTTGCTAAAGCTAAAAGTTAATCTTTACTTGCAGTGTATTAAACAATTATTCCACAAGCACGCTTTGGATATGAGATGAAAAAAAGCCAATGAGACCAGTTGGGTCAAGTTGGCTATAATCATTTCATATCCAGCAAGTGTGAGTGAAATAATTGTTTTACTAAAAAAGCCCCAAAATATAGATAAATCTTCACAACCTTATTTTATAAGAACAAGTGGAATGTTACAATGTATAAAAACACTTCTGGTTTAACTTGTCTTCATGCGCATGCATAGTGTAATTAACAAATAGATTCCAAGTTGCCGTGCATCTGTTCAGTAATAGATCACAGATGATGTCAAAATGTGGTAAGAACAAAAAAGTGGCACACAAGGCGCAGCCGAGTGTGTCACTGATGACCCATTACTCTGTGATCTATTACTGAATATCTGTGATCTATCTGAATATCTGTGAATATCTGTGATCTATATTACTGCGATCTATATTACTATTATTACTGAATATCTGTGATCTATTACTGAACAGATGCATGGTAACTAGGAATCTATTTGTCTTATATAATAAAGAATTAAAAAAAGTTTTAATGATGACGTCATCTATATGTCTGTCCTCCAATAGATCATAAGTGAGAACCAATCAGAATGTGTGTATAACTGAGCTTATTATATAATGGTTCATAACCCATAATGGCCAAGCCAATGGAAACTCTTGAATTGCATTATCCAATGATCCAGTTTTTGATAAAAGGATCAATGCTCTGGCAGATGTGACTATGTACACATTTATTATCTTTTCCTTTATGTGAATTCATTTGACAATCAAAGCATCTTAGGTTGGTGATCATTTCTTTTATTCTCGTTATCTTAACAAGTGATTTAGCAGTATAACTGTAAGAAGAAATTAGATGTTGGTCACTCTTAGGGTTTAAAGGATGGAGCCAAAAGGGAAAACATGTGTCAGATCAGTTGTGATCACATTAAACCAGCTAGTCTCCGGCAGTTCAATGTAGCTCTGTCCTTTGGTTCCTTGCAGTGAAAATGTGTCCAATATTATACTCAAGCCTAAATGCATTTGTTAAAGTCTGATTTTTCTTCTTTTAAAAGAGATACTTCCAAAAAGGTGTGAATTATATCCTTTGTTGTAATTGTTGTATGTTGATACCACCAGTGTTTCACAGAGTTTCTGTAATTTTAACCAACCATTTATGGTGATGCTAGGAAAATATTTGGTAGGAACATATATTAGCTCTCTTGATTATTAGTAAAATTTTGAAGTCCAGAATCATAGAGGCAAAATGGAAGTCAATGATAGGGATTAATTTTGTCAGAGAAATCAAATTTTGCCCTTTCACTTGCTGTATTCTTAAATTACACCTTTGTACATGTTGTAATACTGATTTGATGTTTAGATGATGATTTGATCTGTGAAATGCATGAAGTCATTACAAGAGCATATAAAGCTTTTATATATTTAATCAGCTTTGCAGAAAGGCCATCAAGATCACTTCAGATGCTTTCAATCATTTTACAGCAATTGAAGTATGTTCAACTGATAGTACAATATCACAATAATGTTTTGTTTTAACACTTAAACTTGCTTATGCGATTTTGTCTTTGGTGAGAAGCCTCATTTGTTAAGCTAAGGGCTAGAAAAAATTTGGGAGAGCTTTATGTTTCATTGTCACTAGAATAATTTTTTTAACAATCTGTTTTTATTTAAGCTAGTAACCAATTTCTTGACAACATAAGATGATTTTACATATTGTCAAACAGAAAGGTGTTGACGTCAGTTACTGAGTCCAGTTATTGAGTCCAGTAACTGGCAGCAATTTGGAAACAGATGGCTTCAACATAAAATTCCCCTTCCATCACAAATGTTAAAGCCAGCACAAGAACCACAAGCATCAAGCAAAATGCAAAAGATCAGTATGAAAAAGAAAGGATCTGTGCCTGTATAGTACTGATATGCACAAGATCTTTTTTTATTAAGACTTTTAAGAGCTAGATGAGTTTGTAATTAACGTATGAATCAATCAGTTAAGTTTTTGTCAACAAATGCTAGTGTGATGTGACTGCCACCAAAATTTGGAAAATGCAAAATTTTTGCAAATTTTGACGAGCAAAAAATTGATAAATATTTTTATTTGCTCTAGTGTGACCCAGCCCATGGCATTCTTTTAAAGAGGTTCCTTTAACCCTTTACATCCTAACATCAGCATACATATTCTCTTTACTGTTCTCTATACATTTCCCAAGGTGCTGACAAGGAGAATTTGTTTAACAATTTAGAGCTTCTTTTAGTTGGCAATGGTTTCCTTTATTCTCATGACTTTCATGCGTGATTTGAGGGTGCAGATATTGTGTGAGGAGAAATAAGAGGTTGGTCACTTTCGTGAATCAAAGGGTTAAAGAATGAGACAGTCTGCAAGTGAATCAGGGGGTAAAACAAACAAAATGAGGGTGGCCCTCAGTAGACTAGTGTCCTATTCAGGACAATCAGCAATGCAGTAAATTTAGTTTCTTTTCTCTAATTGTTAGTGCAGTGTTATGAACTTCAGCTTTAGGCTGAAGAAGATTTTTCTTTTCTTACTTAGAGAGGGTAATGTTTTGCAGAACTGTATCTTTAAATCTTTGTTAACAATCATTTTATTATGATTATTTCTTACCATTTGATATATTTTTACAACAACTCGGCTTGTGATGCTCAGTTGTGTAACACACATTTCCAAATTTTCAAAACTGATATTTATAGAATCATTCACAACAGACTCCAAGACGATTTTGTTTATGATGATGAACTAAAAGGGCAAAAAAAAAGTTTAATTTCAAAATTACCTTTAGTGCAAACAACCTGTAAAAATTAATCATCTTGAAGCCTTGAATAAATTTGTGTATATTTTGGCAGATAGCTGATATGTCCTTTAGTTTACACAATGTTTTTACATTTAAAAAGATCCCAGCTGCTTGGTATCTGTTGATTGATAGAGAGTTTGTTTTCTGTTGTTTTTTTATGGCTGAGGTATGTTGTTTTATTTTAGCAGACATCCCTCTGTGCTCATGAACAATATCATAAAGCTGTGGTTTATTCAAATGAGCCACAACCTGCTTCAACCTATTTAAAGCCTTTTGGCTTTTTTCATGAATAATTAACTTGCTTTTGAAGTGACATCTGCCCCATATTTGCATAAAACATAGTCAGATTGAAATTCATTTCCTTATCATAAATGATGCACCTGAAACCAATAGTGAGAGAAAAATGTTTATGAAGGAAATGTTTTGGTGTTGATTCATCATTCTATTCTTAGGAGGTGAGCAAGTTCTTCTTTGCAATATCGGCTAAATGCTTCAGCAAGCCAAACCATATTGTATTATTTTGAATAAGTTCAGGTTGTTCAATGTAAAGAGGGCTTTAAGAATCTACTGCTTCTGGTAACATATTGTTCTTGCTTAGAGAATTATTGTAAGCCATTTCCATAGATGGATAGCTTTTTTAACATTCCCCTTTTGTCCTACAAAGGCAAGTTTGTAAAATGTATTTACCATGTAGCACACTACAAGCTTGTAAATCCCTTTTATGATTCACATCTATATACTGTCAACTGAATTCAGATTTTTTTGGTTAAGATGTTCACTAGATTACATTTTACTTTTTAATTTATTATATCTATGTTTATTTCCTTGTGAGGAATAATTTTTCTTTTCATAGAAATGAGTGATCGAAATATAACTGTCAGAGAATAGAATAGATTGTGTGTGTTTTGGTTGATTTCCCTTCCACTCTGGCTGAAAACTTGATGTTACAGCCATTAAGATTGAAATTATGAAATCTTGACTTGTTTGATGCTGTGAATTGACAATTTTGTGTCACAACATGTAAGTTAAAAGGGAGGAAAGATCATGGTAAAGTGTGTAGTTTTGTTGGAAAGGTGAATTTTTCATTGAATAACAGATGTTTACCACACAGTAATATTACCATATTGAGCAATAACATTTTAGTTTTGAAAGTGTCAGTTGATATTTGCTTGTGAAGGGAAAGTTTTATGGTAGCTAAAAATGAATTTTTCCATCAGTCAAATTTCTTTGCCATGAATATATCAAAGTCAATCTCATATTCTTAGGGTTTATGTTCAGCTAGAACAATAAACTTGTGTTTGCCTTGTAATGGTTATGTTAAAAAGATTCAGGACACAAATTACAAATGGCATAGTTTTTCAGATTTTAATTCCTCTTTATGGATGAATCTCTACAAATTTTCTTAGTGGCAATAGCATCTGGCTGAATGAAACATTGTACCATGTCAATTTTAAGGCTATTATTTTGATGCTGGCATCATGCAGTTTGATAATTATTTCAATCAGTTCTCTATTTTTCATCTTCCATTTTCAAAATGGAGGATTTCTGTTTTAATTAAATACTTTTTCTCTTTAGAATTTGACTGCTCTTTCATACAATCATACATTAACTGTGACCAACATTGGTCAGGTTTTATCTCAGTTTTTTGATTGTCTTAACATTTTGACTCACAATTGAAAACACAACAACCAAAAACAATGAATAAAATGAAAAGGAGTAAATTGGAACATCTTTTTAGACACCAAGAAATTTCTTTTTCTATTTTTTTTTAAGTCCTATTACGGTATCTTAAGACCCTGAAGGGTCAAAGCACAGATTTAGGATATTAATAATAAAATTATTTTCTTGATTTCCTTTTATTTTATTATAGAATAAATGCATTAGAAGAACAACTTGAGACTCAAAAAGTTTCAACAGGGAAGCAAGTAGAAGAAGAAAGTTTGAGATATAAAACAGCTTTGGTAAGTTTTGACTGAGGTTTGTTTGACCAAAGTGTTTTAATTTTGGTTTTTGTTTTAGCTTCTTGTGGATTACCTTGAGTTCATCTAAGGAAAGTTTTGAATCTGCCAATTAAATAGTCATAGGTAACCACATTCAATGTTTATTTCCAGTAGATATTTGTGTCCATGGTTTTCATTGAGTGTTTGAGATTGGAGGACTTGGACCATTACATGCAATTCTCTGTCCAAATTTTAATGGGAAGGTCTCTAATGGTTGCAAATCACTGATTATTTGTCTCTGTTACCTCAATCTTGGCAGAATTTTTTTCAATAAGTATGATATTTTTGTAATGACAGAATGTCTTTTGTTCTCCTTCTCAGAACAAATTAGAGAGAGAAAATGAACAAACGTTAGAAACACTTAACAGAAAGTAAGTGGTGAAATGTGTGTCTATTTTTTTTTTTTTTTGCACTGTTCTTTTTAGTGCAGAATGAGTTAAGCTCTTAAATGTATGAAAAAGTTGCTGTGGTTGTAGATTATTTAGATATTTTAAAGTATGAGTCTTCTGAATTTATTTCTGTAATATCATGACAGCTTAATCTTAATATTTGAAAGTAAAAAGACAACATGAAGTTTATGGGGATAAACCTCACAAAGGTTATCTTGTGCAAGGTTATCCTTGGGACATCATATATTATATACTTGTATTAAATATAGATATGATTATTAATTATTTCGTTTATCTGTCATAATAATTCTACTTGCTTTGAGTAGAATTTTTATGACAAATAACTGAAATGAATCTGATCAAATTCCTGAAAACCACTAAACTTTGCAGAATTTTCAACATGTGGCTTTGTAGCTAAGTTGATAGTGTTGATCAACAAGTATCTTAGATATTTTGGGTTTATCAGCTGAGTTGATAAATGTAAATTGGCCCCATAAAGAGAGTCTAAAACTGACATTTCAAAGGGTAGTCTTTGGTCGGTTACTCAGGTGATAAAAACCAAAATTATCTTGTAATATCCCTCACTGACACAACACTACAGTTTCTTTTAAAATTTACCACCTTTATTCAAGTATCTTAGACTTGAGGCACAAGTTGGAACCCTTTCAAAACAGAAATTTTTGGACAACTTTTCACTTGCAGTTTCTTCAATTGCAATTTAGTTGTAAGACTTTTATGATTTAAATTGGCTTTCTTTAACTTTACATGCTTTATGTAACATTTTCTTAAATTTTTTTGTAGATTACTTCAAGCTGAAGAGGAAATAGAACTTCTTAAAAAAGTGGAGCCTATGTTAAGAAGAGAACTTGATTTATGTCATGAGGTTAGTGCATGTATCATAACAAAGTAATTTTAATGATGATTATAACAATCACATTGCAGAACATTATCAACTTACAAACTGCACAATTGATTGGGACTCTGTGCAATGCCTAACCTACAGTACTAACTATTGTCAATGTCTGACTCTGGAAAGCTGGTTCTCTTACAGAGAACAGACTCCCCTCAACAGGTGTCAACAACCAGTGGCACCATACAAATAACCTTTTTCACGACATTAATGTGGCAAACCAACTCAACAGAAGGATCTAACATTATCGACAGATCAAAATCAACCAATCAAAACCCAACTTACATCACTTAAGCCTCATGGCTAATAACATCATGGTTTAATTGACTTATCAGTTTGCACCAACAGCTTCTCACTTGACTCTGATGATGGCACTCAGATTGTTGAAACATCAGTCACCTCCACTGACAACAGCCCTTATCTAGACTACCCTCATCACAACAACAGATCACATGATCAAATGCATCCTGTTGCAGTTTTCTTCAATACTGTTCATTAAAAAAACTCTCAGCTACTCCTTTTACTTGTTTCTGAAGCCCTACACTAGCTGTAAATGTTGCTTGTTAGTCATGCTAATAATAGAATGTGTTTATAACAGGATAAAAGAAGGCTTCTAAAACAAATAGATAGCCTTGAACTTCAACTTCAAATTAAAACAGATGAAGTCACTGAGCTGAAAGGGAAGCTAGATGCTGAAAGTAAGGGACGACTAGAAGATCACCATGAACATGACCAGGTCAGTGAAAGTGTGCAACTATGTTTTGTGTAGTTGCTTGGAAATTAATACTAAGACAGTCCAGTGGCTGCTCAAGTCAATTGAATGGATTAAATTTACTGTTAACAAAAAGGTTAGAAATAGTCACTGAGTGGGAATTTGTATGGAAGAGAAACTTGTAATATTGAATTTTGACTTCAGGGTCACATATGTCAGAGAAGACAAAAAAGAGCATGAACATGTCTGAAGTTGGTCACATATATCTTTAACTTTTGATGTCTGCCTGTAGTCAAGCAGAGTTGAAATATTTATATTTTCAGAGGATTTTTTTGCACGTTTCATGTAAAACTAATGAAAGGATTTCATTGTTAATTATGTGTTCATTTGTTTAGGAGCTTGCACTAGTCTCTGAGCAACTTTCAGTACTGGAAAAGTATAAACAGGACGTAGATCACAAATTAAAAGACTTTCAAAATATGGAACAGCAGAAGACAGACTTAGAAAGACATATTCAGTCACTGATAAAGGTACAATGAAGTATTTGTAGATAGACTGTCTTCAGCCATGGGTGAATACTAACTCATTCAAGGCAACTTGCATGTTACTATGATTTAATGTGTACATTACATCAATAAAGCTGTCACTAAAAAAGAGTCCGTTTTTTATTTCAGGAGAATTTGAGCTTGAAAAATTCAAAAGAAGAGCTCAATGTACAATTACAACAGGATGGGTTCTTTGGTGCTGAACAGGTGGGTGTACATGAATATGTCATTTTTCTCATTGTTTCCATATGATTCCTTTAGACCAGCATTAGAATTTTCTGATTGGATTCAGATCAAACACTAAACTTCCAAGCATGGCCAACAGGGAAATATGTAGTCATCAGTAAGGAGAACTTGTTCTTTGACATTGGGAGTTAAATTAAAAAATGGCACTATTTGAATAGAAGTTCATATTGAGGTCAACCCATCTTTACCTTTTTGAACCCTTTAACTCCCAAGATCTGATTGTCAATTCTCCCCTCTAGCTGCTACACATATCCATGTAAGTTACGAGAATTTGGTGTTAGATTGAGATTACAACTTCTACCTGATAAGTTTGAGTATTCTTACGACCCGTTTGCTGGATAATGTTTAGATATTACAGGGAGAAGTTACATGTTAATCACTTCTGGAAGGGTCAAACATGAGATAATAGCTTTTCATGATTACTCCTCGTCTGACCCCTTACAATAACTATAAAAGTTTGTAACTGTATTTGATGTTTATTTATTCTCTTCTCTTTTATTCATTTTCACCTTACTGTCAGAATGCATATTCCCCATACTGTTCTCTGTGCAATTTCTATGGTGCTGACAAGGAGAATTTGTTTAACAATCAAAGCTTATTTAGTCTGTGATCATTTCCTTTATTCTCATGACCTTAATGTATGATTCAATGATGATATTGTAAGGAGTAATTAGATGCTAGTCACTCTCCAGGGTCAAGGGTTAATAAACTGCTGTTTTTTCTTTTGACCTCTTGCAGAAAGGATCATTGGCTGATGAACTTGTCACAGCTGACAAAGAAAAAATCATCAATGCTCTTAGAGATCAAGAGGAAGAAAACAGAAGGCTAAGAGGTTATCTGGACGGATTATTGATGATGATCATGGAACATAATCCTGCCCTCCTTGAACTGCGATAAGGCTTCCTGGCACCTAGTTTAAAGCATACGTATCATTTGTCATTGTTAACAGATACACAGTACCATGCACATTGTGGCAAAATAGATGTTGAATTTTATATTTGTATGACAAGGGTTGAAAGGTAATAATTATGAACAATTTTATGAAAGACCTGACACCTTAGTGTTAGTCTATTATGAGTGTATTTATATCCAGAGAGCAAAGTCTATTTTTATCTTTCTCAAGTCATGTCTGACAGGCGTGGCTACACAAAGTGGCCATGCAATCTTTAGGACTTGGCCTTCTTTGCATTCAAGAAAGAACCAGAAACTAGAAGCACTTTTTATTTATGTGGCTAACTTGTTTATTTTGGTGGAATATCATTCAGAGAAACAGAATCCTGTATTCCTGTTTTCTTGCATAACATCAATGCAGAGCATTTGCCTCAAAAAGAATCACTCGCACACCTTGAAAAGGAGGGAAAGTGATGTTTTGAAGACAATTTTGATTGAGGGAGACCCTGAATATAAAAGACTGCATTTTTGAGCCACTATGGACATCTGTGCCATGTAAGACTGTACAAATATGCAAGGAAAGAAAAACTTTAAAGAGTGATGACTGCTCACAAGTTTCCCAAAATTGTGAGTGACTGAGAGATTTGATAGACCATTTGCAATCTTAAATTTTAAATCGCTTTTGTTTCCCCTAAGAGCAAAGGTGCCAGGAACATTAATCATCCAATGCACATTGATGTTTGTGAACGTAATCCCTTTTTTTTTGGTGTACTTTACACATCATAAAGTGGAAAATTTTTTTAAAATTTTGAAGATTTAAATTATTTGATACCTTTAGTGTAAATAGCAACAATTTCCTTTTATAAATTGTGAATTCAGATTGGAAATTAGTGAATTGTGCAACTTCTTAAGGTATGTTTGAATCAATAATCCAGAAATGTCAGCTGTGAAATTTCCCCTCTTGCAGATGAACAAAACAGTAAGGACCACACATTTTTTTTCATTATTCGTTCTCTTTAAACCACTTGCATTGTGGGATTATAGCTGACAAACTCTGAAGATAGAAATCCCTTGGCATTCCATGATGCTGTCACTGTTGACCATTTATGGATTGAGTTCAAAAGTCATGCATAGTTGTGATTGATGGATGTCACTCTATGTAGTAATAATATTTGACAATGAAATGAACTATTTAAATGTGTTATTAGAGTTTGAATGGTATTCACAAGCATAGCAAGTTAGACAGATTACTTAACACCTCTTCTAAAGTGCCATCATGTTGTGCTCACTCTCTTAAGGTTTCTGGTCCAAGAACTTATGTAATACTAATTGGTCTAAACATATTTTTAACTCAGACACTTTAAGGAGTGACGTTTTAAATAGATAAATGACTTAAATTCATGCTATGTCTTTTTGAAGCAGTTAAGTTCTACCTACTAATGGTATAGGTAGTTGCATTGAAAATTAGAATACCTCTAGACTATCATTGCATCAATAATGTATTTTTAATATGCAGACATTGTAAATATTTTGCTAATTGATGAATATAGGAATAGTGTTATGTAGAGACCGTGAAAATCCTGTACAAATTAACTTTGGAACGAAATCAAATGTCTTACCATTTTGTAAATCTCATTTTTTTTCATTATTTTGGTGGGGAGGTGGTTGCAATAATTTCCCTGGTCAAAAAGATGGGTCAGCTGTTTGAAATATTATATATTTCTGAATATAATACTAATTCATGGGATCATTCTCTAAGAATGTAATGAAAAAGCGCTATCCTGACTTTTGTCTGTTCTCTGCCCAGTGATCTTCGGCCGCGATTGAAATTGGACAGGAATAGCTTTCATTTAAGATGTCCATCATAGCAGTCATCTCTCCCTGATCAACTGTATCAAGCAGTCACAGCTTGTTACGAAGGGCATCTCGTTGCGCCAACTGCGTAAATGGCTGTAGAGAGAAGGGGATGAGCAAGGAGTTGACTGAAGACAGGAAGACTCCAAATAACTGCTATCTGCTCACCTCACAGCATGCTGATTGCTAATTGGACCAAATTAAGAGGGAGTTGCTTGAAACCTTGCAAAGTTTTAAACCTACCTCGAATTTACTCATACTTGCCGCTTTGAGTTTCAACCTTAATCTCTAGTTCGGGAAACACGAAATTTACCCACTGACACAGCTCACCGTCGTTCTTTTAGGAGGTCGACAATAGGCCTTATTATTCGAACAACAAGAAGTTAAAGTGCTCTGTATGCAGGGCACAACGCCCGTGTTGTGAGAACGATTCATTTTACAGATTAACAAAACACGAAAAAATTTATATTTTACATGAAAAGATGATGTACGTCACATTATACATGAAAAAAATGCACTTATACATGGAAAAATATTCTTGTCTTTGAAAAATTTACTCGTGCTTATTTATACTAAATTGCACTCGAAATCATGTTGTCACCTATACAACGTTCCCGGATTTGTTGAACACGGTACAATTTCGCGCGCTTTTGATACCCTCGTTTCTTCAGTTCCTCCTATGAATCTCTGCATATCTTCGTTATTTCTCAATATTTTCTGAAGGGAAACCTTATCTCTGCAGACCTAAATTCTTAACATGAGAGGCAGACGTATTCACAACTTGGTTGAAAAAAGGTAAAGTGAACCAGTTTTACTATTGTCACTTTGTCGGGCATTATAGCACGCAGAGCAGGTTAAAATGGAGATTTTGATGGGCGGGTAGGTTGACGCGGCTCTGAGTTGATCCAAACATATTTATACCCGCGAACATAACCTCTTTCGTTTTCTTGTAATCAAGCTTGTTCATCTCTTCAGAAACTGTTAGCCTGTTGCCGTCCTCTGTGCCGTTAAGGAAGCTCATTTGCGATCCTTTTAAGTGGAAGGAAGCTCTGAGCTGTTTGAGCTTAAATAGTAGACGATGGAGTACTGTAGAGGTAGCATGGCCAGTTAAGTTTCGATTAAGTTGGCCGCTTAGTGAGAGAAAACTCACAGAATCACTACGCGAACACAGGAAAAAAGGTATTCCTGAAATATCATTTCGACTTTTAATGGGTTACACATTACAAATCTTCAGATTGAACAATTTAACTACCGCAAAGATTTCCACGGTTTGCCAAGGGGAACATAACAGAACGTTCCGTATGATGTAAGAAACGCGTATAAAACCACTGTGTCCAAATTTTTACTGGCGCATACATCTCGCTGCCATCTGGTGCCTTCCACATACCCTTCATTTATACCTTTAATCCTGTTTCAAATACAAGGTCTTAAAAGATCAACTCTGGATACGTTTCCTAAATTTCTTGATTACTTCAAGTTTATAATTATTTAATGGATTTTGGCGATTCAAGTACTGAGATGATTAAAGGCCACGACCAACCAAAGATAACCTAAGAAGTTTTTCCAACCACGAATGATTGTGAAGAAAAATCTTTCAAAAAATTTTGCCAGAGGTTTACACAGTTCTCCTTACAGTAGAAGTACTCATTGAACAAAGTCTCCTTCAGTCTTCACATAAGGTAAAGGAGATTCATCTTTCAGGTAAGTTAAAAGCCAAATTTTACGACAATCAATGACTGGGTGAAGAACGCGTCTGAATCAATTATTTTTTTTTTTTGAAAATTTAGATCTTTAAAACTTAACATTCAAACCAAAGATGTCGAGATCAAGATAAATCATACTGATTCACGGTTCATTAACAAAAAAAACAAAACAAAAAAACCACTCTAATATTACGTAGCACTTTTTTCGGTTCGTTATTTCACTACTGTAGTGATTGGAAACTTACTTCCAGCCCAGTAAATATCCCATGTTAGATCAGCAGTGATCCCCACGACAAGGTACTGATATTTCAACTGATATGCTTAACCTTCTTTCAAACTCTCCGTCTGGGTTAAAAAAAAAACTTTGTTGATTATTACGGCGAAAGTTTACTCAGAGTTTTAACTTCAGACGCTACTCATCCTCGAAATCAGTACACTCTCTACTATTGAATAGAATAATTTTTCATAACCTATTGTGAAATCATAACAGGTTTCCATTTCCAAAAATATTCTGAGGATCCACTGCCTGCTTGATGCCTCTTAACATTTCAATACCTACATCAGAGACGGTTTGACGAAGCCACTTCTTTCTGAGTTTGCCCACTCCATGATGATGAGACAAGCTACCACCATTGGCGAGAACTTCATCGCGGGCAGCACTCTCCACCGCGTCGTACATCTCTAATGGGTTGGGTAGCCCGCGGTAATTGAAGCCAAAGTAGAAATAAACGCATGCGCCGGCATCGTATGTCTGCGTCACTCTGCAGGTGGCTAAGGGTGGGTACTTGATTCCAAGGTTTGCACACTTCCGTTTCAGCGCTTCTTTCACGTTGCGACACAGGTCTGTGACTCTGTCCCAGGGCACAGATGTTTCGAATGACTCGGCAAGGAAGTGATGATCAAACCCAAGATCCCTTAGGTAGGCGATCACAAAGGTCAACATGTATCCTCTCTGGCCGTTTTCTTCGCCCCCTGGAATCCCACGAAACTGGGAAGCGATTTCGTAAATTTTCCTCTGTTGGCTGGCGACAGTTTGTTTGTCTCCCTCAAAAAGAAGTGTAGCTACCGCTAGCTGATGTGGGTCGAAGCCTTTAAACTTGGTCAGGTAGACAGCTTTGAAGCCATCGATAAAAGACTTGAAATACGATCCACTTTCAGATTTCAGAGCTTGTCCAAACACGAACTGTTCGTTATCCATTAAGCGAATCGAAGCTGGAGCACAGCGCTGTTTGGCAATCTCTCTCACGCAAGCCACCCCAATATCGAACGTGGGAAACACAATAGAGCCATAGACTTTACACTCGGGTAACGGACGGATCCGCAAACTAACCTCAGTTATCACGCCCAGCGTTCCCTCCGAGCCCATGATGAAATGGTGGATATCTGGGCCAGTAGACATCCGGGGAACTTGACAGCTTTTTTCAACGGTTCCTCTTGCTGTCACCATGCGCACACGCACTAGAATGTCTTCAATATTACCATAGATGTTCTTCTTCATACCTGATGCACGTGTGGCGACCCAACCACCCAGAGAACTAAACTCCAGCGAGTCAGGTTCATGGCCTACACAGAGACCTCTGGCATTCAGCTGAAAAAAACACACTATGTGAAATTTTAAGTACAGTATTCAGTTCAGTATCAAAAAGGGGAAATGGAGCAGGAACAAAGGTGAGGTGGGGTGGGGGGGGGGACCCTGGGGTGTGAGTAGCCCAAACAACTCTTCTATATATAGATAGGGGAAAAAACTAGAGACTATACTTTCATCCCTGATGTAAGGGTTGAAGGGATGAAAGTACAGTCTCTTTGTTTTCTTCCCTATCTCAATATATATCACACTCTAAATGATTCATGATAATTTTTTGGTATGCTTTTTGATTCCATTTACCCTTCCTCCTTCAAGATTTGATTTGCAATTCTCTCTTTTGACTTGTATCTTTGAAAAGAACATGGTTTTAAATCAAGATAACACACCCTGGCTAACGAGTTGTCTATTGTCATCACTTGTGAGTAAGACAATAGCTTCATGTTATAAGGAGATGCTGCATGTTGTTCACTTCTGTGAAACTCTGGTCTAGGCCCCACCAGTTGAAAATACTGCACTTACACCCCAAATGTTACATGGTGATCAGTAGGTCGCAGTTGTCAAATCCTTTACATTCACAAAAATTTAACATTTCTGGAAACCCAGGATTAAAATAGGTTGAGATTGAAATGAGGGATACAAAACTATGCCCATGCTTACAATGTTAGAAAACAATTTTTTTCACCTTGTTGAAAACACCTTAAAAAAAGCTTTCTCTTTCCATGATGACAGACCCAAGTTCACAGTGGACTAACAAACACCTCAACACTAACCTGTCTTTCCAATTCTTGACCAATAATCCCTGCCTCAATGTGAGCCACCAAGTTTTCTTCATCAACCCAAAGAATCTTTTTCATCTCTGTCATGTCCAGGGACACAACCATTCTCTTCTCTGTAACTGGGCATTCCAATGCGCTGGACACACTAGTACCACCTCCAAAAGGTATAATACAAACATTATGCTCCACAGCCAGCTGCACTACCTTCTCCACCTCTTTATGACAGCTTGGCCAGATGACAATGTCTGGAATCCTGTGCAGCATTCCATGACGAAGCTCAAAGATCTCATGACAAGTATGCCCATGACCATGGAAAAGCCTCATATGTGGATCCAAAGAAAACTGCACTCCTGTTCCCTTGACATGATCTAAGAAAGGCTGGTTAATCTGTGAACTTGGTAAAGTGCTTGGATCAGGAAGAGGCTGAGCAGGAGAGGAAATGCTTACATCCGCATGGCATGATTTTGTAAACCAATCCACCAATTTAGGGAAAGAGTGTCCTCCAAGTATGTAACGAGATCCTGTGAATACAGCCTGGCCATCCTTATTGATTAAAAACTTTGAGTCATCATAGCCCCAGCCATTCCACTTCAGGACGTTATGCCTGCCTGGATTTTTGTGTTCAGCCTCAGTGGTTGGTTCTGCTGTTGCATCTGCACAATTTTGTTTAACCACATCTGTTTTACTCTGCTGGTCTAAGTGGCCTGCTATTAACTTTAGTCGTCTGTTGCTGCTCATTGTGGTATCTGGACTAACCTAAAAATTTCATTTTTGCACACAAACACAAGAATTATTGTTTATTTTAATTGACTGCAATTCATTTCAAAATCAATAAAGAATACTGAAATGAATTAAATCCTGAATCAACTATAAAACTTCAAATTTCTTCCTTTAAAAATACAAAATGCAATGGTCTTTGCAGTGAAATGAATTTTACGAAACAAAATGTGTTATAATCAGACAATTGAATAGATATTATGCAACATAAGTATACATTGGGCATCCTAGATGGATGGATCAATGGTAAGTCAAGCTCCTTGAGAGAAAGAACCACACAAAAAAACGAGACTTCATTACACAATTTTCAAGTATCTCCATGACTCTAACCTCAGACTTAGATCTCCTTATATAAGCATTATACGCCATTACTAGTTTTTTTTTAATATTATCATTCAAAATCATTGTCAGGGGAGATAAAGCTTATCACAAGTCCTTCCAGCTACTCAAGCTAGCGATGAAAACATAAGTTAGAACATAAATACATTTTTCACCTTAAAAATCAAAATAGATCTTACATTTTCACCTTGAACAGAGCTACCTTTTAACAGGGCAAAGAGATATAAGGTGAGCGCTGCAAAAAAAGGACCCTTAGTTGTGTCAGAAAAGGTTGCAAACTGGAAACAAAAGGACACACACACCTCAAAAAAAGGACTAAGTTGATTTTTACTTAACAAGATTTTGATTTGTTAATACACTATCAAAGTATCTTGGCAAGTGTAAGTAAAAGCTCAGAGGTTTTCCAGATCACTTGCAAAATTATACTGTAATCTATTGGTTCAAACACTAACTGAAAATGCAAAAACATTAATTTTTATTGGGTAATGTCACCTGGACATTGCATAAACTTACATACACTGTTCGGTCTTGAGAATTAAAGTGCGAACGTTCAGATAGAAATCACAATCTTAAGAGCTCAGTATGTGATTTGAATACACAATAGTATTTCTTCGGAAAGGGTGAAAGTTTTTTGGATAAAAGTTAACCGCTACATACCCCTGAAAACAAAATATTTTTTGCATGATTTAATGTAGCTATGAGTTGTGGTGTGACATAAATGTATCCCATTTCATAAACACGTCAACGCATTCACAAATTTAAGTTTGAACTCATCGTTACCACACTTCATGCGATTCAAAACATTCAATTTAGCATAGCTTTTGTCAGATGTTTTCAAATATCCAAAAATTGATGCTTAATTGTCTCTTGTTCACACAAGATGTACAAATTCAACGAGTTACACCCTTCTGTCGTCTGTCACGCAGCTCAAACCAAGGGTTGCTGACCTAAAATCATGCTCAATTCTTCTAATGTAAAGAAAAAAACATGGACTTACGAAAACAGTGATTCACGAGGAAATCTCACCTTCCGAAAAGCGTCGAATTCTTCGAATTAATTTGCTACTCAGAAATGATAATCTACCCTCCTACCATGTGATGAACAACGGGCTCAAGCCATAGAATTCAATTGCAACACAACCGAGGTCAGCTGGGGCGAGGTAATCTTACACGTGCCAATCCATGAGCTCTAAATATGGCGACAACGAGCCTCTCCAAAAGAAAACAAATCAGATTGTCATCTAACAGCAGTAATCGCGATTCTCAAAAGATCAGCAAGGGACATGTACACGCCTTGCAATGTCTAAACAGAATGGAAGAGTTAAGAGCGAGCGAGATCCTTTGTGATGTTGTTTTGGAGAGCAACGACGGAAAACTTTTCAAAGTGCATAAACTTGTTTTGGCTTCCTGCAGCTCGTACTTTCAAGCCATGTTCACAAATGAGATGAGGGAATCCAGGGAGAGCAAGATTAAAATGGCCTTAGAGTCGAATGTTTTGAAAGTTCTGGTAGAATATGCTTACACCTGCAAAATGGACCTCAAATCTCTGGCTGATGTCAAAGATGTCTTGGTTGCCGCCAACATGTTGTTGTTTTCCGGAGTGGAAACTGTTTGTGTGGATTTCATTAGCAAAAAAATCAGCAAGAGCAACTGTGTCGATATACTAACATTTGCTGAAGCAATATCAAGTGAGGAATTATTAAAAAATGCGTTTGAATACATGGAGAGGAACATTATGGAAATTAGTTCTCACAAAGGTAATGTTTGAGGGTAGTCAGAGACGAGAATTTTGGCTCACTTCCTTGGAGGGAAGGGTCTAGGAGTTAAATTACATGTATATTTATATAGGGAGGAGATTCAAACGAGATTTATGGCTTAATACAGACAAACTTTTGCTTTTGAAGGGGAAAAAATTTTGTATAGTGCACGTTTGATTTTTTTTAAAGAATAGCAAGATTTATATTTGAAATTAAGTTCCTGAAAATGATGTACTAGAAATTTTGGGAGAAGAAAAGTAGCTTAAGGTATTTGCTTCTAATTGGAATTTGGAATTGTTTGAGAGAAGAAATGTAGTTAAAAGGTTTTTAGAGACATCATTTGGCTTTAATTCACAACTGTTTGTCACTTTAACTCTTACTGCTAATTCATATTCAAAAAGGTAGGGTACATTTTAGTGGATTGCAAAGGTCCTTGTTTTAGAACATCTTTTGTGTGGATGGGTCAAAAAGATAAATGGATAAATTTGTTGAATAGGAAAACCAATGCTTACAATGGATCTTCTTGGAAACAGGGAACATTTAGACTATCACTCACCCTTATCTTATACCCCATTCACACCAGCAAAACATGTTTTGTTAAACTGGTTTTCATTGAATGAAAATTATAAACAGAGAACTGAAAAACTTGATTTTCCATTGGATTCAAGTACTTGCTAACTTGCATTTCCAATGTGCTACATTCAAGTCAAAAATATTCGGTTAAATAGTTTCTATGAAGAAAAAAAAAATTAAACTGTGTTTAACAAAACAACTTTTAAACATGTTTAAGCTTTGGTGTGAACGGGGCATTAGTTTCTTTTCAGGCCACAGAAAAATTAATTATCAGTTTGTCCTATGTTATTTGTTAATTCTGATTAACAAATGTAGGGGTTCTACTAACATTCATATTACAAGGTATAACTTTAATTTCTCTTGGTTACAGGTTTCCTCTCCTTGCCTACAAATCTGATGACCAAACTTGCATCCTCTGAAAATCTGAACATTTGCAGTGGTGAAGAGGGACTTCTAAAACTTGTTTTGTCATGGGTAAATCATGATCCCGATAGCCGATTTCCACATGTTCCTGATGTAATAAAAAATGTGCGACTTCCTCTTATTCCAAGAAATCATCTGATACAATGTCTTGGAACTGAATTTGAAGTACTCAAGAAACATGGTAAGTCCTGTTATAAGCCCTTTAAACATTCAAGCTATTTCATAGAATCTGGAAATATTACAGTTGTGCCAATAACCTTCTAGAAATGCCATATATTTCAACTTTAATCCATTGCTTTTGCCTTTTTTATTTTGTTATACCTTTTGAAAGGTTGTCAAGCTCTCATAGAAGAAATAGATAACTATCAGCTGCATCCAGAGAAGAGGTGTTTTATTCAAACACTCCGAACACACCCCAGGCAAAACACTCCTAAAAAGCTGTGCATAGCAGGTGGCCTGTCAGGATTTGACAGTCCTGATAGATATTTGAACAGAATGGACTACTTCTACTTGGAGGATGAAGAGAAATGGGGAGAAATGCAGTCAATGTCTGTTGCCCGAGAATCAGCAGGTACTGAGTGACTTGCTATGAGGAGAAAGATCTTGCTCTCATTGTTCAATTTTCTCCATTGTATAGCTCAAAATAATAATTTCCACACCTAATTCTGATTCAGTAGAACCTCACTGGGTTAAAAAGAACCTTCTGCTAACTCAAGCTAAAAGTTGAAAGGTCTCAGTGCCACAAAAGTCAAATTAATCATATGTGTACACATGATATGTATTTGCCCTATCTAATTCAAATGTTGTTTTTTCATAGCAAGGAAAGCTGTCTCCAAATGCTAATTTAGGCTTGAATTGGGGAACAGTGCAGTCTAGCATGTTAACCAGTTTTTGGTCAGCATATTCCAATATGTCCTAACATTGTCATTGTAATCTCCTGATCACTTTTCAGCCGTTGTTAAACTCAATGGCCTCATCTATGTGATCGGTGGGGTTAGTTTCACAGCTAACCTTGGCTCTGTTGACTGCTACAACCCACAACTGGACTCATGGAGTGAACTTCCACCACTTAAACTTTGCAAGGGGCAAGTGGCTGGCACTGTATTCAATGGATGTATCTATGTGATTGGGGGAACAGATGATTACCTCAGGGAAGGTCTGAAAACTGTAGAGAAGTACGACCCATTTACTAATGAATGGGAGGTGATCACGCCCATGCACACGGGCAGAGGAGTTCTTGGTATGTAACGATACCCTTTTGTCCTTTTTATGTTTTGCTTAAAGGTTACAGCAAGTTATACCATTCCTCTGAGCCAGCACTCTTATAACCAATTTCTCCTAAGAATGTCAGCATTCTTATTACCAATTTATCCTAAGAATGCTCCAAGAAATTTTGCTCCTTCCAGGTAATGAATTACGTTCTTGTTAGTATTCTTCCCTGTTTACTTCATCTGAATCAGTGAAGCAAAATTGGCATCCGAATACATAAAAGCCTAACGGTGGGCCTCTGAGTAGGTTCTATCAACAGCTAAGACCATTATCATTACAATATTAAGATCAATACTGGTGTCATTTTCCCAGGTGTGGCTACGCTAGAAGGCAAAATATACGCTTGTGGCGGAGCAAATTTCAATTTTGCGTTCTCGTCCGTTGAAGCTTACGACCTGCAGAAAAATCGGTGGCACTCTGCTCCGCCCATGAAAAGAGCACGAGCTTTTCATGACGTGGTCGTTGCGCACGGTTGTCTGTACGCGCTTGGAGGCGCTGAAATGCAGAATGGTCAGATAGCAAACGTTCAAGCCTCGGTAGAGAAATTTTGTCCACAAAAAAATCACTGGACTATTATAAAATCTCTGAACTTGCCTGCCTGGGGAATCAGGGCTGCAGTTAATGAGAGACCACGTGATCAGGACGTGGATGTTTACATCGTTGGACAGTTTGTTGTGGGATCAGATTACGGTGCGATAGCCAGACTCTGCCTTGGTGATGACGATACGTACATGCTTGTGCGCGTTCCGTATGTCGACGAACCATCACCTAGGATTCAGGCAGGAGTTGTCATATTGCCATGAAGGTATTGATATGCAGAATATAAGAACATTTTATTTAAGACTTACGAGAAGTCTAACTTTATCGCACACTTTAAAAAAAGTTCACATTTACCGCTTGCCAAGGTAAAGGGTGTGTCTCGACACCCGTTTCCTTAAAGGAGACATTGAAAATATACCATGGAACATAAAGACAAGCTGGCCGATGTTATTGTATCACTCAAAGCGAAAACTGCCATCCCTTAGGCCTCTACATTTATTCCTTGGGCTGACTTGCTTCCTAAAGCTCTCTTTCCATTGGAATAAACAGTGAATGCGTTCATTTGAGAAGGTGGATAAGAGGGGCATTCCCGCTCACGAAGTTCCCGATTTTTGCGACTAAGAGGTCGGTAAGGGAGTTAGAAATCGGTGAAAGCAACAAGGAAAAAATATATTTATAGATGTAACTGAGCTGAAATTTCCCCTATTAATCAGAATTGGGTTGAAATCTCAGCATGGTGATGAAATTTCTTGCATGAAAACGAAACAGAATTCATTCCGCCAACTAGGTTGGAGTATTTATATAAAGAAGACGTTAATCAAATTAGTCTCGTTTCGTTGGTTCCCTCCTTTCTCACTTTGCTATTAAAAGTAGCCCCCCCCCCCCCCCCCCCCCCCCACGGGCTTTTAGACGAAAGAAAGAAGTAGGGTATTGTCTTTGTTGATTAAGTCAACGATTCCATAAGCAATCCTTCACAGTAACAGTTTAAAACTGCGTGGCTTCATGCATGTCTTTCAAGCAATCATCTTCCCTGAATTGACCCCGATATCTGAACCGTCGTGGTATTTTGTTAGGGCCTCGTCTTCAAAACAATTGGTTGCTATGTTGCTCTTCTTTATCTCTTCCATCTTGTGCGGAAGAGCTCACTTCAACTTTTCGCGGAAGCTGAAACCGGCCGCTTTGTTTTGCTTCCGGGTGTGACGTGACACGATTTCTATGGTTCTACTGCCATTTTAGTTGTAAGCCTTATCAGTTTGTGTCTTTCTAAGAAATGCGCCTCGCACAATTATTTATTATGATATTTCGCCGAAGCTGAAACAACTGAAGACGAATTCCAAGTTGCATGATAAACATCATGTCAATACTTTATTTAAATCAACCCAACTGAATTTAACCTTTCCCTCCCCCTTCAAGTCTCCCACTAAGAAATATTTTTGTTCCGTTGACGAAAATAAGTAAGCTTATCTACCAACTGGCGAGCTTCAACTTCGTACTTCGACGCTGTTAAATTTACTGATAAGATTGTTTAGTTTTCTTTTGGCATATAGGAAAACTCTGAACTCGTGTTTTACATTTATCCTGGTTTATGTCTTTTCCACAAAACACACATTCGCGTCTTGTTCTTGAAGAGATGAGGAAATGAAATTGGCCTTGATGTGCATTGGACCGAAAAGCAATTGTTTACTAAGCCGGAACTTTGTGTTCACGGCTTTTACGTTCCCGTCGGATGCTACATATATTACTTTGTTCAATTAGAGTTTATATTTATTGTGCAAATATTTATCCATGCAGTTTTGTGGATAGTTTTTTTTTTTAAAGAAGCTTCTAAATGATTGTAATTAATATTGTGTTGTTTTATCCTTATCGTGCGTTAGATTACATGGGCTTGTTTTTGTAATAAACACAACTTCACCCTGAAACATTATTGCTGTCCGTGACGGCATAGATATAACACAAGTTTGTTATATACTAATTGCCTCTCTGATGCCGCTAATCAACTATGCTGTGCTAAAGAGGGTACAAAAGGTTAAATCTAGGATTGTGTTTGTTGCCGCGCGCATTTTTGTAGGCAAAGGAAGACATGTTAGTTGATTTGTAAACTTCGATTTTCACCTGATATCGAAACTTGCATGGAAATGTATCACAAGTGATTACTAAAACGGGTTTATTTACGGTGATTGATGTTTATTTGTCAAAAAGAAATTTTCGCCAAGGGCGATTTCAGGCTGACTATCTCGATCATCGCCTCGAAACCTCGTGATTATCACCGGAGGTATCACGCGTTTTCGACGAAAGCAGAACCTTTCGTAGAAAAGCTTGTATCCTTACAATAAATCTGTTATTTTACCCTCCCAACTTATGGAGCACGTGTTCCCTATTAGTGGTCTTTTTTTGTCAATGTTTGTTGTCATAGTTGTTTCTTACCGTTTGTAAATTACAGAGCTGATATAGACGAGTTTCAAGCTTACAATTCAGTTCCAAATTTTTTATTAAATTTTCCATTAGTTATATTTCAAAATTTGAAAGATTTTCTTTTACTGTGCCCTTCCGCTTTTATTGCTATGTCGCGTCCAAATTTTGACATCTCATATATTATCTTAATGAATTCCGCGTTCCTTTCCTATCTCGTGGATTTTGTCACGCCAGAGATAAGCTACAATTCCAGCGTGAGTTGATCAATATTTACTTGTTAGAAGATCGTCCGAGATCTACCGGTGTTTTTAGAGTCGACTTGTGCACGCACTCAAACGTAATTTTTCCGAGAAAATGCGGCGCTCACGCGCACAATTTATTAATAATCCATGCGTGACGAATGTTACTATTTCCGAGAAAGAGTGACGATTTAACACTTGAATTCCGAGAACTTCCGTTAAAGTAAGCTTTGTATTTTTTCGAAGAAACACGAGAATTAAATTGCGCCCGTTATGTAAAATCAGAAAGCTTTCGCTTCGTCGAAAACAAGAGGGCAAATGTTACTTCAAAGCAAAGTCAAGCTTCAGTTAAACCCAGAATTACCGAAGAAAGCAATGGAAATAGATTATGTCAACAAAACCATCACAGTCTTCATTGCAACGCGGTTCGTATCTTGACAAAGTATTAGAGACTTTAAAAACAAGCGGATTTTATTGGGGAGCGTTAAATGCTAATCAATCAAAAGCTTTATTAATAAAGAAAAAACCTGGATCGTTTCTTATTCGTGCTAGTTCAGACCCGAAACATTTATTCACGTTGAGCTTGAGGACAGAGTTAGGAGTGACAAACATCAGGATCGTCATGTGCGACGGAAAATTCTCCTTGGATCAAAACAATGGGACAAGTGCTCACGCTGGTGGAAATCAACAGGGCTCGCCGAAGTTTGACTGCGTTGTAAAGTTAGTATTTTATTATATTCTGCTTTCTAAGCGAAGAAACAATCGACAGAAGTCTTCATACGCTGGAACCCGTGACAAGGTTGCTCATTTGTCGCTAACATCACCTCTGTACAAAGAGGTATCAAGCTTAAAACATTTATGTCGACGGACATTGAATCGACAACTTATCGGAGAGAGCGTTCATCGATTACCTGTTCCTTCAAAGCTTAAAGTTTACTTGAGGAGTTACCAATATCCAGTTTGAGTAATTCACGGGAAATATTGTCAATTCATTTAATTTAATGGCCACAAAAAAGACATTACATTGGCTAATATTATATCACGGGTGCTCGCGCTCACCATGAAGAGTTTATCGTTTTCCGAGAAAGTGGGAGGAGAGTCCCACAAAAGGTTGGTGTACATCAGGAATATTTTTTCAAAGTTTAATTTTTTATATAAAGTTTTAAACATAGTCAAATTGTACAGCAAGTGCTAAAACAAATTATTTATTTCGAAACGGAGAATAAAAGTATAGTATTTTTGTTTTAGAGCTGGTGTCAGAAAGTCAAGCCCTAGGGCAAGCAACATCCTCGAATTCTTAGAATCTTGGTCTGGTGCCTGAGTGGCTACTTGTTTCTATTATTCAGTAGCTGTCCTTTATGTGCACCTTTGTTAAGAATAGCGGCATGTAATTTGATTGATAACGAAGTTTTCCGTTTTAAAATTAATCCATAGGGAACGTGCTAGCTCGCATGAGGCAAGCATTTTAGCACGACAAAGCTCATTTCAGATTTCCGCCTTCTCTTTCTGAAGTATTCCGGGGGGAATCCCCGACTTCGAATTAACATTTATATATTCAAAAGGCGCAAATTCTGGGAAACCCTTGATTTAAAGTACATTTTCATTGTGTATACATATATATCCCTGCGTTATTTGACGAGAACATGATAGAGCTATATCATCAGCAGCAAAAGGCAAGTTTTGCCTGGTTCGCGGTGATTTGGGAAGTTTTCGACTGCGATCCACTATTTACAGTTAATTTCAATTGTGGTGATCTTGTCAATTCAATCGTGCCTAGTTTCTTATTAATTGTGCATTTGTGATTTATCGACCTTATCGTGCTATCCGTTGAGTCGAAGTGGCAAAAGTTTAAAGCGTTGTATCGCTGCAACCAAAAAAAATAGCAAGAAAGAAAGAATTACAATTCCATGGGCGTGATGGATATGAAGTTTTTTGCCTCCAACTTTGTGGACGTTCTTCGCTATATTAACTGTAGATTAGCTTGCATCTAAAAATTTTATTACCAAGGGTTTTAAAAGTTTTCTTTTTAAATGCTATAGTTATTTTTATTTGGGCCATATTAGGTTGAAATACTGAGACTGTATGCGACGCCTATGATCAAGCTTCATTTTGTGAGTTAAGCTTTTTCTCATTGTGCATAATGATGAATTGGGCATTTTCTGTCGTTGCGGCGGATGCAGAACGTGAAGTAATGGGAGTCATTCCCGAAAATAAGTTCTGTGTCTGCATGGGGCCATGATCAAACGAGTTATGGAGGTCCAAAGAGGAGCTGCCAGCCTAAATTCCGGCCATGATTAGGAAATATTGCATCCCTTCCGGACAGGAACGCTGTTGTTTAATTGGTTCAATTGATAGAGTAGTACTTCATACTTCTCAAAAAATATTGCTAAAGAGTATAAATGATGCAAAGGTGTCTATGAGTTGGAAACGAGTTTGTGGCTTAGAGGGAAGGTCTTCAGACGCTAAGTGCGTACAAAGTCTACTGTATTTGTTTTGTGACCTTATTTCCTTCCTTGTGGGCCGTGCTTTCATACGCATTTGACGCTGTTTTTAGGGGCAAAGATCATTCTGGGCAACGGATGATTTTGTGTTTACTAAACCCGGCAAGAGAGGCTTATTTTGATCGGTTTTCGGTCCAGAGAACAAAGTTCAAAGATATTTTTCAAATAGCTATGGGGACAGGAGGGGCTAGCGGGCTGGTATTGAAGAAGGACGGAACGGATAGTCTAAAATTTGGAGTAAATCCTGAGGATCGGCTCTTTACATAAGGTCTGACACAAACCACGATTTTGCGCAATCAGCGAGCCTCAAGCTTTCTCCATAGGAAGCTGATTTAATTAACCAAATGTCTTTCCACTGTTGGATTTTGTCTTTCTTGACTCTGCTCACAGAAGCAAATATTCAGATCAAAGATTCAGCTAAATTAGGGATTGCTTAGGACGCAGTTTTGTTTAAAAACGGCCAAACTTTTTTTAAAAATAATCAGACCTGGGGGCTTTTAGGGCATGGGCCCAGCTCTTGTGCACTGTCACACAATTCTACGTGACAGAGCAAAGATAAACTGCCACACTCCTCATAGACATTATCGCTTTTTTGCGGGAACAGTTTTCTCTGGCTTCGTACGGTATAGGGCTGGGACGGCGATATTAAAGTCCAGAAGAATCCTTTGTGGTGGTTGCAACTGCTTTGTTTTATATTTTGGCACACAGATTGTAAATGAAAATCTTGATGCTCGAACCTTGACGAGTCTACTTTAACTAACACCCAAACGGTACAAAGGTCGCCGTGGGAACTTTCATTTGCATGTACCTCACCCCACCCCTGGTTGAATTGATCGGAGCGTGCGATTGTGAAAATGTGTTCGACTCTACGTAAGCAAAAGGTAGGCCATAGACCAACGTCTAGAATAAGTGCAACTTGTTTGACTGGTTGAGCATGCACCGACCACATATCAGGCCAGGTCCAGAGAACACCCCTGTCGAGCCACCATAATGTTTTTGGCAGGTCGATTTCATTGCATGAAGAACTAAAATGAGCGTGCACAATGACACCTCTTTAGAAATTAAAATTAGGAAATTCGTCGTAGAGAAAAATCTACCACAGAGATGAAAACCAAAACATAATTTTTTTTTTGTTTTGTAGAAATCGACTTTTAAATCAAGATTTTTGCATAAATACTTGTAAGCCTTTTTTAGTGCGGTCATTACAACCGGTGCAGTCTTTTAGCTGATCTACGTGATTTAGATAATTGAAATGAAACCAATACAACTTGACATTTTTGTAAACATATGTTTTCATGACTTACCATATTAATTAACTCTATTGGTGTTGAGATTTCTATTCCCTTGCCAACCCCCACAGAGCTTGCTACACTAAGCTGTGGTAAGAATCTCGTGATATTCATTCATGGAAGAATTAGATAGGATCAAGTCATGTTAGGATTACACAATTCGTCGTAACAGTAGTCATGAGACCATCATGATTTGTCCTTTTGAACCTTCACACGCAACGAGGGAAAAATCGACCGGTTTGGCCCGTTTGTTGTCCATATTCATAATTTCACTCTCCTTTTTCAATCATATTTGCTTTTTGCAACCTTGCCGAAGCTGTTACGATCTTTTTTAATCACAATGATAAAGTAATGACAGGCGATTAAGATTAAAATTAGGGTTGCCAGTAAAATACAGCAATTAGCTTGTTTCTTATAGATGAAATCTTCCCTTAGTGTTAAGAGAATATTGTTTACATAGATATCACTGTCGTCATGGTAACTGAGTGACTCACTATGCAAAACAGCGTTTTACTCTCCAACAATGACTTTTTACTTAAGTTTCACATCCTCAGCAACGCTCGGAAAGAAGTAGTCATCATTCCTGGATATGGAATCTGTAGGGATGCGATAAAGTTGTAAACAACTGGAAATTATATATTAGGCTCTTGGGAGCACCCTGGAGAACTTTCAGAAATTAATCGGATCAAGTTGTCCGTAATCTTAACCATAACCATCAGGAAAAGTGTCTCATGATATGAGTGTTTACTGTGAGTATTGTTTATTGTAGAGGTCTTGATAAAGGTCGAACAGGTAGTATTACAAAAGCTTATAAGACATTATAACGGGTAATTAACAGGGGTCTGCATGTTAAATGACCACCCATGGGGAAGGTATGGTACCTTCCAGTGTAGCTACTCGTTCCCAGTCTTTTGTATTAAAAGGGAAGTGCTTGAGGAGAGGTTAGAGGAATGCTTAAAGTGCCTATGACACTTTTTTTTCCGGAAATATTTAGCCTACCATATGTACAAACCAATTCCAATAGAAGGAAAATTCCGAAAAACTTAAAAATCGGTTTTTTTTAGGGCCCTAAAGTGTTCTTATTTTGTTGTAAAAGTGCCCCGTGAACTGGTAACGAATTGACGGGCGATGACGTAGAAAACTGTGAAAACTCTCACTACAATTACGACCATTTTTGTTTTTGTAATCATGATTCAACGCATTTTCCCATCTTAAGAGTCAGCACCAACGCACTCTACGATTGTTATTCGAGGATGTCGATTCATTTATTTTCATTCATTAATGAAGTCGGCTTTTCTTCCCAGTAAAGGACTATTGTGTTTATATGATAAACAAAATAATACATGGTCGCTTGTAGATATGGAATTCCTCTTCTCGTGTTCAACTCGACATCTCACTCGTTCGCTGCGCTCACTCGTGAGCTATCGTGTTAAACACTCGAAGAGAAATTCCGTATCTACGCGCGCCCATGTATTATTCTCTATTTATCACATAAACTGCGGTGTTATACAAGGATTTCCGGCCCTAAGAAAAGCCGTAACAACATACGTGAAAAATATCGTATTTTTCACGTGTTGATATAGCCAATCAGCTGCTTACACGTCACTCGCCTTTGGCGCCTCTCGGTCAGGTTGATGAATGAACGGGAAAAGCCTTCACGATTCTCAATACAAGTTGTTTGTCGGAGCTTTCTTGAATTATTGCGGCTAAAACACTAAAAACTCCGTATCGCTGGCAGACAATGAGGTTCAAACTTTCCTAGAAAGAGAAGAAAACCAATTTACTAAAAGAAAAACGGAGAGTTGTTCAACTCGACATCTTACTCGTTCGCTGCACTCACTTGTGTACTATCGAGTTAAACACTCGAAAAGAAATTTCATATCTGCGCGCGCCCATGTATTATTCTCTATTTATTTTTTTTTAGAGGGCACGGTAACAAATCCTGCAATCTGATTGGTTCTTTACCCGGTCAGTATTTTCCTATCTCTGCCCACGGGCCACGGTAACGCTTTCCTGAGTCGCCGAGTACATCCCAACTTTCGTTACCATTTTTCATAAATGTATCTCGTTTTTCCGGCTGGGCGGTATTTTTAAGCAAACACATCGGTCACTACCTCAAGCCGATAAATAACTTATGAATCCTCTCTTTTCTCACTCTCAAATCGCTTTGGTTGACTGAAAATATATTGGTTTCAGTATGAATTTGTTTACGCAATAGCGTCATTACGTTGGTTGACAAGCGGCCTATAAACCGTCTGCAATTAATTTTAATCGTTCACAAAAAATACCTAGAAAGTTAAAACGTGAGGTATTTGGTTACAGTTAACTGAACGATGGAACTTTCATTCATTTAATATCTGAATTTTCTCAAACAATTTGTTCGTAGTGAAAGAGCGAGAGAAGTTTTAATTTCATTTCTACAACAAATATACGCTCCCGGTGAATCTTCCAAGTCCGTTCAATTTGGACATTTGTACCGTAAATTGCACAACAGAAACTGAAGTAATTTATTGAGAAAAGGCTGCATTAAATCCCCTTGTGTCTCGTTGGAGTGTGCCATTCGAATTTAGTTTTTGTGGACGGAAGACCAGATTTACACACGCCATTGCAGCAAACAAACGCGCAAACTCTCACAACTTCAAATTAAAAAATTTGAATTTACTCACAATTACTTTCCTCGCCGTTTCCTTAATGAACAGAGGTAAATCTTCGAACATGAATGAATCGTCAATCAGAGTGAATAATACTTTCCGTTAGATCATTGACTGTTTTTGAAGAAAACATTGTCGTGACAGTCCTTGCCAAACTAGTTCCGTTGTTTTTCAAATCTTCTCGCTCTCTTTTGCTTTTCTTACGCGCTCTCTAATTGACAGGTGTCAGATTGTGACAGATACTTGTAAAAATAATGTTTCAAAGTTTGTTAAGAAGCCTTTTAAATCACCTTTATCGTTGCGGAAATGAAAATGTTTCGCTGAGGTATCTCTCTTTAATTTGCATCACTCTATTTTAACCAGTTACTCGCTCAAAAACTGTTCAGGTTATGGAAGATCTTGCCGTATTTACAGCCCTAAATCATTCGGGTTCTTTCGGAGAGAATCTCGTCAAGTTTAAAAAAAATAAATATGTTATTTACCGGCTAAGGGTCGGCCCGTATGGTGAAAACTGTGACCTCAGTCTTGAAAATGCTGCCCTCGGCCTACGGCCTCGGGCAGTATTTTCAAGGCCTCGGTCACATTTTTTCACCATACGGACCTCCCAGCCGGCAAATAACATATATAAATTGCACTCCACTCAGTTCAATTACCATTATATATCATACATGAGAGCGCGTAGATATGGAATTTCTATTCGAGTGCTTAACTCGATAGCTCACGAGTGAGCGCAGCGGACGAGTGAGATGTCGAGTTGAACACGAGAAGAGAAATTCCATATCTACAAGCAAAAATGTATTATTTTGTTTATAATATAAACACAATAGCCCTTTACTGACAAGAAAAGCCGACGACATTAATGAATGAAAATAAATGAATCGACAATCCCCGAATAACAATCGTAGAGTGCGTTGGCGCTTATTCCTAAGATGGAAAAATGCGTTGAATCATGATTACAAAAACAACAATGGTAGTAATTGTTGATATACAACATTCTCATTTATTGACTTTGTCCTTTCTTTCAAGTAAACGGCCCAAATCGGCCAGTAACAAATCTTCCAGTTGTCGATTTTCATTCTCAGCCACGAAAAATGCCAACACCACAGCCGCTGAATACGTAACTTTGGGTTTGTTTTTTTGTATATTGGTTTTTTTCCCTTCTAGGAAAGTTTGAACCTCACTGTCTCTCAGCGATACGGATTTTTTAGTGTTTTAGCCGACACAATCTGAGAAAGTTCCGACAAACTACCTTTTGCTGAGAATCATGAAGGCTTTGCCGTTCTTTCATCAACCTGACCGAGTGGCCTCAAAGTCGAGTGACGTATCAGCAGCTGATTGGCTATATCAACACGTGAAAAAATATCATATTTTTTCACGTGTGTTGTTACGGATTTTTTCAGGGCCGGAAATCCCTGCATAACACCACAGTTTATATGATAAATGAATATTTTGTATGCATCGACTTTCACTAACTTGGATTCGCTACCATCTAATTCAATAAAATGTTTATTTATCTCGTGGCAGTGCTATAATCGCAATGACACTGCTACAGTGGCTACTCTCAGTTTCTTAGGGGCAGGAGGGAACTGATGGCTCATGGGATGGATTTTCGGAAACCTAGGTCAGGTAGTAGTGTATAGAAATATAGGTCTAGGTTCTTAGTGTATAGAAATACCAGGTATAGGTGTATTATTATTGTAGCCAACATTATTTGGTGCTCCGGCCACGCAATGAGTTCGTCCTTTCTCCAAGATTTTTCCTTTCCCCACCATTGTTTTCGACGTGTCTTTATCTTTACAGTTTTCTACGTCACAGCCACGTAACATGATTGTTTTGGCTGCGCGCTTAAATGGAACACTTTTTGGCCGCGAAATCGCACTTTCAATGCACAAAAAAAAATGGTCACGGAGATCTCGCTAAGCACTAAGGTCGATTATATCTTATTTTAAATACAGCTATCAACCAGAAAATGCAAAAAAATTTCATGTCAAAGGCACTATGATTTTTCGCAGTTGCCTTCCCGTCGTCTCTTTCGCCCTGCGCTACACTGACTAAGCGTCATTTTCCTTCAGAGCTTCTTTGACGAGAACAGGACAAGAGGAGTATTTGATCCTGTGGAGAAGCGAATATAATTTAATACTACACATATAAAGTGAGAATCTTGGGTCCTTCAATCAGCTTCAACGTTCGTCTCTCCCTCTTTTTAAAAGAAATGTGGGAAGATAGTTGAAGCTGCTTGGGTCCTAAGGAACGGCTGTCATGGAGATAATTATTGTTCCTCTTTGGTACCAATCTCTTCGCAGGCAGCCCAAGCTCCAGCTGTGAGATGATCATCTGCGAATTAAGAGACATGGCGAAACTATAAGATTTCTGGTTTCTCTAGATGATTAAACTTAATAGGAGCCTGAGACTTCTACATGCTCTTAATTTATGATTTTAGATATTTCATATATCTAAAATCATTATTCATCACTTGAATGGTTTATTTAGACCCAACATATTGATCTACTCCCAGTTGGGTTGTTAGCTGAGTTGGTAGGCCATAGGTTCAAATCCCGTATGGGCCTGAATTTTTTTTAGGTCCTATCTTCAACTACTAGTTCAGTAGTGTTCTTAGCTGCGAGGATCTCTTAAATTCGTGCTCCTAATTTTTTTCAATTTAAAGAAGACTCCGCCATTTTCCCAGTGAATAGAAACACGTCACAGCAAAACTAAATTTCTTAAGCATCCCTTGCCGGCCAAAAAGAAGCCCAACATAGGTGAAGTTGACCATGATAGCCGCAGATTTACCTCGGGTTAGTACTGAAGTGAAACACTAAGCGGAATAAGAAAGGCAAACATCTGGGGATACTGTTGCAGGTTTTTATTTAGACCCTTATCTCGCACCCACAAATTTGCGTTAAATTTAAAGAATTTGCACGCCTAACTTCGCAGCGTAAAACAAAGGTACGAGAAACAGGTTTTTATTGTCCAAATAATCGGCATTGCCGATGTGTGAAGAAAGTCTCTCGCTACTACTTTCAAGGCCAAACAAAGTATGCATGAGCTACATGTTAAATGTTGAATGAGCTACCTAATGTTGCTCGGCAGAACTGTTTAGTCCTTAACTGAAGGGAAATGTATTTAGCTGGCTGTAAACTGCATATTCAAACCCTTACGTTTTTAATCGTCTTTATTTTAAAACAGTGTGTAAGCGCCAAAACCATCTGAGGAAGTGAAGTTCGAAACATCAATCGCCATGACGATTATTGCCAGCCTCTCACGACCACGCGGCCTCGATCCCAGCTCACTCTTGAAGTTTTTTCCGGGGAAGCGGGTTGGTTTAGAACCGAGTCTGCATTTTAACCTTGGTCTGTAGTCTCAGTTCAGTCTGCATTTTACCCTCAGTCTGCGCTTTATCCCTGGTCTACAGTCTGCGTTTTACACCGACTGGTTAGATATACGTTACGAGCACCAGATTTATTATGCATCTCACGCTCCATCACCAGCTACACGAAAGACTCCCCAGCGCGCAAAGGTACGGTACTCTGGAACTGCTTGACAAGCGAACATCGCGAATTAGTCAGCTTTACTTGTTATGAGAACCTCAAGCGGGAACAGAGATTACTAGAGTCACTACATAGTTTTGGGGATTTTACTTAGAAGGTGACATCTACATCCACATGCACTTTCAGATCAGAAGATTTTATTTACACATAACACCTTTCTCAAGATGGCTGTATATCTTAGGTAAACGTTCATAAGTCCATTAGCACATTAGATCCTTAGATAAACGACCCACAAGCCTAACAGCTTTAACAATTATCGTTTAAAATAAAGGATTTGATCGATTGATAGACATAAAGTTTGTAAGGTAACGCCTCATTTTGTTTTGGGATTTAGCGGCTCTATTGTTCGCCACTGTTGGAATTTGAGCAACCCGGCTTCCCGAAACAAATATATTAAGTATATATATGTCGTTCAACGGCAAGCAAAGTCGCGACAAGCATGAAAACCCATGCAGTCCTTTTTTTCGTTTTCGCGAGAATATCCGTAACACAACGCCACTCCTGGGTTTGATGACCGAGGCCGGGGACATTTCCAGGATCATAGCTTTTCGTAGGAAAAAAAAACAGCAACAACTCAGGGCTCTTGAGCAGCTCTTACAGGTTATTTTTAATGGATTTAAGTATATATGTTTGGCCTTTTGGATTTTGTAGCGCACATTTATGGTGAAAGACACAGCGTGAGCTGAATTGTGGATTGAGAAATACTCAGGAAAGAATGACCAATGATTGTGTTACAAGTTGATGTTGCAAAATTTGCCGACCACTGACCTCTAAGTTTCGGGTTATATTTGGAAAATTTTAAGAGCTTTTCTGAAGTCATGTGTAAATAATTGGCGTTTTTTTTATTGTTTTTAGTACCAAATATTCCGCCTTTTGCGATTAAATCTCGTTACAATATGTTTGTTTTTTTCTCCTTCATCTTTATGAAAGAGCATTTTAAGATTGGCGTGACATGCTCAAAGAGTCTGGGCTCGAAAGATGTTCACGTGAAACCCACATGGAATTTCCCAAGTAAATTTTTGGCGCGTTCGCCTGATCGTCATAAATTTTAGACCACTGAAACATTACTGCATTTCACGGAATTTTCCGATCTAATCACCAGAAGTATAACCCTTTGCTTAAGGTAAGGTTCTATTTCATAGATTGAAGGAGTAATAATTCTAAATTCTTCCTTGCAATCGCGGCAAACTCTGTCCAATTCAAGTCTTGCCAAATGGAAAAAAAATTATTTGTTATTTGTCATCTTTGTTTTAATTCTCTACGGCAGATTTAATATTTTGAAAACATGGCAGTAAACGGTGTCAATGGTCATGGATTTCACTTCCTTCGTGAGTCTCTTGAAGAGAACGATCCCGATATTTACGAAATTTTGAAAAAAGAGAAGCAACGCCAAGTTCGCGGCCTCGAGCTCATCGCCTCGGAAAATTTCACCAGTACAGCTGTTATGGAAGCTCTTGGTTCATGTATGACCAACAAGTATTCTGAGGGGCAAGTTGGACAGAGATATTACGGAGGAAACCAGTTTGTGGATGAAATGGAGGCATTGTGCAAGAAGCGAGCTCTCGAAGCTTTTCGGTGAGATGATTGATACACGTGTAATCTTGGTCACGTGTTTAATGGTTATTAGTTTCATCCAAGCTAGTCGAAATTTACCTCACTGATGATATATTGAAGGATAAGGCTAAATGTAGAATTTTTCCCGACCTGAAGAAATTCGGTAAATTTGCATGATCACACGCGAAAGAACCCGTATGAGTGAAGTTATGCAATCCTTTCGATCTCAGCAATGGAGGTTGTTCTTATCGAACAGGTCACGCAATTCGCCTAAATGGAACTATAGGTACTCGAAAGATGTAAAAGTGTCGGGACGGATCGAAGGTTTTATTGATTACGAAAATTTGAACATAACTGGGGCAGGTTGCAGTAATTGGTTACGTTTCTACATTTATTCACTTGATACTCAACAGGTCTTTTACACTTAAATTTGCCAATTCATCAAATTCGCCAAATTCCAAATAGTTAACTATTTTGATCTGAAAATTCAGCTTGACTAGTGAGCCTAAAACAAGTTTTTAAAGTTAAGGGATCGTAATTAGTCTGTACTTTTAAATCTATTATCCAAGTGATAAAATAGTTTCAAATTTTTTAATTATTTCTTTTAAGATATTCAATGGATAAAATAAATTTATTGCTGTTGATTTTGTTTACTTCTGCATGAAAAGTTTAACAAAACACTTTTAAGTTGCTATATCAGTGACATAAAAGTCAATGTCTACAATGTGAAGAGTTAAGCATCTAAAGACTGTGAAAGCTGGTGATTGTAGCCTCCCTGAGCAGTACAACCTACATTTTGTCACAATTTATCCAGTCTCTTCCTTGAGACATAGGTTCATGCTCTAGTATCTTTATTTGGTAAGCTTAATTTTAAATGTAGTTTGCCGGTTCTCACGTATGATGAAGGATAGATCCATAGTCACCATTTTGTTATTACATTATATAAGGCAAACAGATCACAGAAGAGTAAGGTGGTAAGTTTCTAAAGAAACTGTGGGTGCTGTGTTGGTGGGAGAGTATAAAAGAGCAATTTAGTATTATCAACTGAGTTGATAAGGTAAATTGGTCACCATTAAGAGTCTCAAAGCTTCATCAGAGCAAATGAAGAAGGGTTAATGCTGGAAATGTCAGTGTTGAAAGTCTTTACATTGGCCAAATTATGTAATCACTCAGTTGATAATACTAAATTATTAGATTACAGAGGACATTGAAATGTGGTAAGAACATGTGTGACACGTGGCTGTGCACAGTGTACAATGTACAATGCTTACTCATCTGTACCCTGTGTTTCTTTTTAGCACCTTCTGATGTCATCTGTTACCAATATTGAACAGAGGCACAGCAATATGCAATCTATTTATTATATGTGATACAAGAGCAAAATACTGACTAGGCATCTATATCTCTCTCTATATATATATATATATATTGAATACAAACATGGCCTTTTGTAGAGAAACAAATTGTTTCATGCTATTTACTGGTATGTTATTTTATTTTAGGCTTGACCCAGAAAAATGGGGTGTAAATGTGCAGGCATATTCTGGCTCCCCAGCAAACTTTGCAGTCTACACTGGGCTTCTAAACCCTCATGACCGTATCATGGGCCTTGATCTACCTGATGGAGGGCATCTGACACATGGCTTCATGACAGAGAAGAAGAGGATATCTGCAACTTCCATCTACTTTGAATCAATGCCATACAAGACCAACCCAGTGACAGGCTTGATAGATTATGAAATGCTTGCTCAGACCGCCAGACTGTTCCGTCCCAAGCTGATCGTTGCTGGAATCAGTGCATATCCGCGGCATCTGGACTATGCTAAATTCAGGGAGGTTTGCAATGAGGTTGGTGCTTACCTCATGGCTGACATGGCACACATCAGTGGTCTTGTTGCTGGTGATGTAGTCCCAGGTCCATTTGAGTATGCAGATATTGTCACAACAACAACTCATAAGTCACTCCGAGGGCCACGCTCTGGTGTCATATTTTACCGCAAGGGAATTAAAGGGTACAAGAAAAATGGGGACCCTATCAAATATGACTATGGACCCAAAATTGACTTTGCCTTGTTCCCTGGTCTTCAGGGTGGTCCGCACAACAATCAAATTGCCGCACTTTGTACAGCATTCAAGCAGGCCAACACACCAGAATTCAAGGAATATGCCCAACAGATTTTGGACAACTGCCAAGCACTGGCCAAGGTTTTATTGAGTCGAGGCTACACACTTGTGTCAGGGGGATCTGATAACCATCTGGTTTTACTTGATCTGCGTCCACTGGCAATTGGTGGTGCCTTAGCTGAGAAGGTTCTGGAAGAGGTCGCAATAACAGGTGAGTTCTGTTACTATCTAATGACAGCATTGACATGTGTATTCTGTACAGTGAAGATATCATGTTTTAACCCTTAGCACTGTAACATCAGTATGTATATTCTCCATAGTGTCATCCATACACTTCTTAAGGTGCTGTTAAAAAGAATTTGTCTAACAGTCAAGAGCCTCTCTAGTTGATGATCATTTCCTTTGTTCACATGACCTAAACCCTTTAACTCCCAAGATTTCATCAGTGATTCTCCTTACTGTCTGCTATACAATTTATTTGATGTTAGTTTAGAGCATTTGGAATTGGATCAACCAATAATCCCCAAATTGGTATTTTTCTATATTCTCATCACTTATCTGGTTGATATTGTATTGATATTGTAAGGAGAAATTCTGTCTTGGTCGCTTATGGGAGTTAAAGGGTTTAATGTGTGACTCAGGGGTGATAATGTAAGATGTAAGGAGAAATAAGATGGCTGTCACTCTTCAGGGTCAAAGGGCTTAGAGAGTATCAATTACTTTGTTATTATGTTTTTCCTCACAGTGAACAAAAACACCTGCCCTGGTGACAAAAGTGCTCTCCGTCCAGGTGGACTGCGTATTGGAGCTCCAGCTCTCACAACCCGCACCATGAAGACAAAGGATTTTGAGCAAGTAGCAGACTTTATTGACCGTGGAATCAAACTGGGACTGGAAGTGCAGAAGATCAGTGGGCCAGACCAAAAGAAATTTGAAGAGGTTTTATTGGGCGATCAGTTTAAGGGCAAAGTTGAGGCATTGAAACAGGAAGTTGAAGAGTTTGCAGTCCGATTTCCCATGCCAGGACATGATCTTATTTAAGATATTGCCGCTATGTGTGTGCCAGTCAGCATTTTGATAAAATAGACACATGCTGATTAAATATTTAAAATGATAATGTCAAGATTCATGCATTTTGCAGAGCAACTTTCCAGGGGCTACAATTGAAGTTTCAGTTTAGTATAAAATGTCAGCAACCCTTTAACTCCCAGATCAAATTTGTCACTCTCCTCACTGTGAACCTTACAATTCTTATAATGTTAGTACAGAGAATTTAGTATTGGATCAACTAATTATCCCCAAATTGATATTTTTCTTTGTTCTTATCACTTCTTTGGTTGATATTGTATGGATATTGTAAGGAGAATTCTGTCTTGGTCACTCATGGGAGTTAAAGGGTTGAGACTGCATTTGCAATATACATGAAACAAGTGTCATTATTAAGGACTGATATGTTGCTCAAAAATCATGTTATACCTCCAATAGACAAATCTGTTGATTATTCAATAGTGTTGATAAACTAGTGATGAGCTCCACATGGGAAAAGTCAGTAATTTTCTGGAGGTTCACAGTCATTATTAGGCATAACATTTGCTGCTGTTTTGAGTCTGTACTAGTCCTTACTTTAGATGCTTCATCATATAGTTGAAAATAAACTCTCCAAACAATGCACTTTTCAGGCAGATGTTAGGATATAATATCAAATTTTTATTCAGAGAGATGCTATCCATGAGAGAAGGAATTGAAAATGCATCAAACAATCTACAAAAAGAAACCAGTTTCACAGTCATTTTCACGTGATCCAATAAATACAAGGTTGTTGTTGATCAGGCTTTAAGGAAACTTAGAAGATACTGCATCTCGCACAATTCACATTTATTGGATCTAGAAGCAATTACTCTGGCCCAGGAGGATTGGGGAAGGAAGTAAAATAGCTCGTTTTGACTTTCGATGGGGGAGGGGGTTGGGTTTGATCACTTATTTAACTTATGATTCAGTCAATAAACACTCAAAATAAAACATTTGCTTCAAAAATTTGAAAACCATGTGCTAATGTTCATGTGATATTGTGGAGTTGGGTGAGGCTCATTGTTATGATAATTAAAATTATATGGCAATTAGCAAGAAAAGCCCCAAGAAATACACAGCAACTACAAGGATGATCTGGTGAAAGGTAGCAAAGCACAGTAGTTAAGTTGTCAACTGTGTACCATGAATTTGATTTTCGAAAGATGAAAGAGGCAGCAAGACCGGCCACTATCTGTCCGGGCAAAACAAATGAACTGATTACAACCATATCTATCATAAATTTCGGCAGAAAATGCAGTCTGTCCTCAGTTAATATCTTACTATTTCCCGTATTATCTGGTCTGACCATGGCTTACAGTGCATGTGGCCTGTTATATGGAAAATGACGCCATGTCTACTCTTCATTTTGTGGTAATGACGAAGAGGGGAAAGGAGGGGACTTGCCCACTGCCCTTCTCGTGCCTAACCCCTCCTTAGAAATTTCTTTCTCTCCCCAACCTTCCTCTACTGAGAAGATCGTTGGTGGCGGGCAGCTTTCCCGCCAAAACTTGTCTCCAAAACCTGCCAACTATCACACTTATGGGTTGAAAACCTTTCGACTATCTTCTCACTCCTAACAGAACAAAGAAGGTTTTTGCAGACGTGATTTTAAAACCTCTTCTATCTTTAGTTTAAGTAAACTCAGGAGCCCATTACTTGGAAAGTAAGGTCGTGCCAAATCGTAGATTTAAATTGGCTAACATAAGGAAGAAAAAGGTGGAATTAAGTCGAGTGTTTTAAGTTTGTTGACCACCGTAAAGAGTTTCGAAGCTGATGTTTCAAGCGTTAGCCCTTTGTCAGAGCGAAGGACTAACGCTTGAAACGTCAGCTTTGAAACTCCTTACGGTGGCCAATTTACATTATCAACTCTGTTGATGAAACCAAAATTACCTTGCTGTACTCCCCCACCGACACAGCACCACAGTTTCTTTAGAAATTGTTCCCCGTTATAAGTTTGGTTCGTGAGAACTGATTGGTCAGTTTTGTGGTGATGTCAGTTGCTGTGGGACTCAAGTAGCATAAGTTGGATGTGATTGGTTGGTTTCGATCTCATGAATTATACTCTGCATTTCCTTACGTGGTGTACCTCTTCAAACAACTCACAGGCAGTTTTTTTTTTATGTTGTGAATTTAACAGGTATAACTTCGTCATTTTGTTAGTATGAGGGTCGCCATGAGAAGAAGCGGATGGAAAATTCTGTTCTTTTAAAGTTACCCTGAGTGGCCGGCGGTTTTGTGGGAGGCAACCGAAAAGGAATGAGAAGGAGCCGTGGAAACGCTCGGTGAGGCAGCAAGGAAGTCGACTTTCTCTATTTTATTCCTCTTGTGGTTTCACTCTTCTTGGTTTTATTTTGTGGGAGTAAAAACTTTTGCAAAACCACGACCTCTGCAAGCTATTCAAAACGGCTCGTTTTTGCCCGACAGGAATTTTTTTCAGCAATTCTAAACAAATGCATCGTGCAACAAATCAAATTTACGACTGAGGGAAAAACTGAACGAAGTCCCTTTACTGTTTAGTGGGCTTGATATTTTATTTCAAGTAATTTAGCGTTAACACCTGAGTTGAGAACGTAAATTAGCCACTGTAAAGAATTCAAAGGCTGACGTTTCGAGCGTTGGCCCTTTGTCTATCGCTCTGACGAAGGGCTAACGCTCGAAACTTCAGCCTTTAAATTCTTTACGGTGGCTAATTTACGTTTTCAACTCAGTTGTTAACACTTAATTACCTGTTATACTCTCCCAACAACGCAGCACCACAGTTTCTTTAGAAACTTACCCCCTTTATTCATTTGGTATTTTATAGCAGAAAATGTGATTTGTTGTCGCGTTGCCTATGAAACCTTCGAGGATTTTCGCGGTGTACTCCATGTCACAAATTACGAAATACTTTAGCAAAAAACACACTTATGCTCAAGAACATAAACTATATTACTATTTTGGAGGGCACTGAGAGGATAAAAACTGAAAAAAATGACTAAGTCACGCGTGTGTGAGAGCGGGTTAAAATGCATTTTGCCTTGCCAAATACTTCATTTTAGCCCGAAAAATTTCCCGCCAACAATGCCCTACAAAGTGATATTTATATACTGAGACAAGGAATATACTTGTCTATCCCAGCAATCCTGTTCCGTCTGAGAATCATGACCTATTAATCATTACTTCTCGGTAAATGATTCTTTTAGCTAGTTTATCTACAGCTACAGCGCTCTTGTTTAGATTTCCGGATATTTTAGCGGCATTTAAGCGGAAGATGACAACAAATGAAGAAAACATTTTATCAACGGATACCGAGGCTTGCTTGGTGGTATCTAAAAGTGCTTTTTTTTATTCTTTAGAGGTAAGTCGCTAAGACTCAAAAGAGCCGGAAGGGAAGGAAGCCCTTGAATAAAATTTCATTCTTTGATTTTTAGGGTACCATTCCAGCCACTCTATGATTGATAATTGAGATTTGTATAAAAAGATTGACGAAAAACTGGACAATCTAGTCTGTTCGCTTCCCACTTCATTTTAAAGTGACGCACAGTTTTTAAAGTGACGCACACTTTCCTCACAAATTATCAAAGAAACAAAAAATTGCAATTTCAGATATTCATTTGGCTCTTTATCTTCCAATCCGCGATTATCAGCTATTCACTTTTTTGATAGAGACGCCTCGGGAAATAACTTTTATTCTGCACTTTTTATCATTGGTACATCGTTCCTATTTTGCATCGTTGAATGGCTTCCTTTATGGAGAGTTGGATTGTCTGACAGAATGACTTTTTAAGGACATCTGAAAGCAATGATATTGAAAACAACAGTATTTATAAACATATTTATTTCCCTTCACGAGAGAGAAAACTATTAGAGATATGGTCACCTTTTAGTGAGTGTATACACTAAAGAATGTTGGTTCTTATTTTTTTTCCTTCTTGATTGAAACACGTTTTGATGGTCAGTAGTTTTCATTCGATGCGTAATTCTTTACCTCATGCAGTTGGAAGCATTAACTACCCTTTAAGATAAGACGATGAAAATGACTTTAAGACTTTAAAATATATATGTTACAATCAGACATGACAGATGTAAAAATTTAGTACTTAAAGTTCAATATTGTAATTTGCATTCAGCAACTCTTTAGTGAATACCAATCAATACTTTTTCATAAGTGTTTTAGTAAATAAAGTAAGAGATACATTAATGAATCATCTGACAAAAAAAAAGTATAGAGCCTTGCTTGTTCTCTAATATCAAAATGATGAATCAGAACTGAATTTCCTCATCATCTTTGCATGTTTCAGTTAGTATAGTGGCCGTGTTAAACTTGTTACCTAGGCAAACGGCAAACAGCGAGCATCACAATAAATACTTAATCTCCTACACATTGGATTTTGGTTAAGTTCTGGGTTCATTCATGTAGCCAGAATTCATCACATTAGAAATGGATGTTTTGGAGTTCTTGGAGGCAGGTGTGTCAGTAGTTTGACGAGTATTTCCGGTGCGAAACCATTTCCATTGTAATATATGAATTACTGAGAGCCAGTGAGCGTCAGGGTTTCCTGTAGGGTAGCTGTGACGCATGCGTGGGCAAATATTTATAAAATACTTTGTCGCGTTGTGTCGATCAAACGATATTTACACGAGCGAGATCGGATTTCATTGAGTGCAAGAAAAGGAAATGGATTTGGTTGTAGCTCCATGGTGCAAACAGTTAAACGTTATCTGTTTTTTACTACTTCTCCAAGCTACCACAACTCTTTCTCTTTCTTGTCCCTTCATGTCGACCTGCAAATGTGATGAGTTTAGAGCAGTTTTACACGTAGAGTGCTACAACGTCTCCTCTTTGAAAACCATACCTTCTGGCATCCCAGCAAATGCACGCAGACTGTGAGTATAACTTAAGTTTATTTGCTTCCTAACCTTTGATACATGTCTTGTTATCAAATCATAAAATTTTGTCACCTTTCAGAAGCGATTTGTTGTTTTAAAACATAGTGGCGAGGATTTCAAATGGCGTGAACATGGCCGATAAAATTCAATTACCGTGTGCTGTCGAACCTTTAACCAGTCAATCGCAGTCAGTCTTTTAACATCAACATGTCACTCTTGCAAACCGGATTGCTGAAGCATTTGCTTTCATTTAGATCGATTCGATAATGAAAGTTTCTCGGACACACCGCAGCGGGAAATCGAAATTCAGTGTTATTCGGGACAATTTGTTCAATCCAAATAGTTTTCTGGTTTTGCCGTTTACTTGCTCAGAGTTTGAAAGAATTCCTGAAGTAAGCGGTTGTAACAAATGTTCGTTTCGATAAGCAAACATTTGACAGATTATCAAAAATGTTTAGGAAGGCGAATGCAGATAGTTGCTTATTACTTGTCGTCGTCAATAAACAATGGAAGTAAAGTTCTCTTTATTAATATTCACTGTCCTGAAAAAACTAATGTTGTTCTTTATTTCGCTCGAGATAACAGGAGCTGTATCTAAAACACGATTTTTTAAATGTAAACAAAGCACAAAATGCAGATGAAAAAAACGACATATGAACACAAAGTCTGAATTGAATATAAGCACTTCAAACTTTAGACCTTGTTCCTCGCATTTTTATGAACGAAACTTTTTTCTTGTTTGGTTCAATAGTAAACTACTTTATAAATTTCTCTGGCTCACACGTTATTTCTCGCTTTTGTTTTCATCGTAGGATATTCAGCAAAACGCAGATATCACTGATTCAGAAGAACGCCTTTCAAGGATTGCCTAATGTCACTGAAATGTAAGTTATTTTCGTTGTATATTTCTTGACATTGTGTGACAACGTCGCCTTTTATTACCGGCGCATATTTTCTGGAGCTATCTTTTGTACAAGATCAAAACCTACTTCCTCAGCAGAAAGAAATAAATACACACACACGTAGAATGTACAAGTACTAATAAAACATGATTGTATGTTGTCGGAAATCGGCTTTTTTTAGAAGATGTGGCAAGAAAAGGAGGAAT